TCGGCCCAAATTGCTTCTGGAAATTTTATTTCTGTATTAGAATACTTGAAAGTTCTTGCCATTTCGACTATCGTTCGATTCTCTCTCTCGACACCACCGTTTTGTTCTGGAGTATAGGAAGCGGTGAGTCGAAAAGTTATACCAGCTTCCTGAAGAGTTTCTCTTACTCCTGCACAGTCGAATTCTCCTCCATTGTCGCTCAGGAATTCCCGAATTGTGTGCTTTTGTTGCTCGGCGTGAGAAACCATGTGTCGCAGCACGTCCTTGACCTCTGACTTCTGCTTGACGATGTACCCGTATCGAAACCTGGTGAAATGATCCAAATGGGCCGCAAAAATCGCCTGACATCAGTTCCCCTGGCTTCATCGCTGGTTTCCTCGTTCCAAATGGCAATCGATGTGCCTTTCCAAGGATGCAAGGCTCGCAAAAGCTACTCTCAATCTTGATTTGAATGCCCATTTCTCTTTTGAGCATGTCCTTGATGTGATTCTTGTCCTGATGTCCCCACCTCTCGTGGTAGAGTTGGAGAATTGAAGTTCCTGAAGTTGCGACGTTGACATCGACGTTTCGTTCTGGAAGTATGGGCTCGATCGCTGCTCTGTAGAGTGTTCCTCCAACTTCTCTGGCTCCAACGAGGACAATCTTGTCGTTTATTTTGAGGGTGCACTCGGTTGCTGACGACTCAAAACGACTACTTGGATTATTGTCTTGGGCAGACAAAACTGAAAACAGGTTCTTCATTGACAATCGTTTTGACTTTGATTGTGCCCTGGCCCAAAGCTGACAAGGTTTCATTTCCATCTGCTCTGATCCAACTTGGATTCTCAAACTTCTCAAAATGCTCGAAATACTTCGCAGTCTTCACAACGTGCTTTGTTGCACCGTTGTCTATCCACCAGTCGACCTCTGAGTTTGCCTCTGCTGCAAACACGCTATTGTGGACTGAGACGAGAGTTAACGTTGGTTCTGCACAATTTCCTTGTTCATTCTGGTAGCTCGGCTTCGGACGTCCATCCTTCTTCCATTTTATGCAGTTCCTGATCCAGTGTCCCTTTTTCTTGCAATAGCGGCAGGTATCTAATCGCCGACTAGATGCTCCTGAATCCTGACGATGCTCCTTTTTTGGTATGGTAGAAAAAGCCTCCTGGCTTTCCTTTTCGTCATTTTCTTTTGTTCATTCTGGTAGCTCGGCTTCGGACGTCCATCCTTCTTCCATTTTATGCAGTTCCTGATCCAGTGTCCCTTTTTCTTGCAATAGCGGCAGGTATCTAATCGCCGACTATATGCTCCTGAATCCTGACGATGCTCCTTTTTTGGTATGTTAGAAAAAGCCTCCTGGCTTTCCTTTTCGTCATTTTCTTTTGTTCTAAAATTTCTCTCAAACATGACCATGAACATTTGATTAGTTAACTCGTCGAAAGTCTTTTCTTCTTCTTTTGTCAAGAGCATTCAACTTTGACGGAACGTTTCAATGGTTTTTGGCAAAATATGTAGCGTTTTACAAACAAGTATTAAGTCTGGCAGCTCAGTTTCATTTTTAGCCTTCAAAGCTTGATTTAAATCGTTCCATAGACTACGCAATTTTGCTATGTGGGTTGATACATTGTTACCTGGATTCAAAGAGAAAGCGAAAAACTCGTTGCATATCCTGAATACCTGGTCCTTCGCTGTTGCTTCAAACTGATTTTTCAGAGCTTCCCACGTATCGTGTGCTGTATCCTTGTCCATGATCTTCTGGTACACCGAGTCCGTGACCGCAGTGGTAATCATGGATTTTGCATAGCTATTGGCCTTACGAAAAAAGTCGCTCTTCTCCTTGTGCTTCTTTGCATCTTCTGTTGAGGCGCCTTCTGGCAATGGATCCGGTTTGACGATCTTTCCGTCCAACGCGTCGAGAGCACCGTCGTGATAATCTATCAGGTCCCTAATTTTTCTTTTCCAAATCGGCCAATCGGTCGCACCTGAGAGCTTCGTGACGTGATTCGCCAAATCCATCGTAATCGAGAGAAATGTCCCTTTTTTTTTACTTTAAACTGAACAAAACGTTCCTGGGCCCATAACCTATTATAACTTTTATTTATTTGTTATTTAGGCCAGTAAATAAACAATATTTATTGAAAACTCAACCGCGTGTTTATTCACCCTCTTTAACAGCTTTTTAGGTTATGATTAGTTATGTGTTTATGATTCATCGATATGTACTATCGATATGACATTTCAAGGCCCTCTGACTTGGCGGGTAATTTTGAATTAGAAACATTTATCTTCAACACTTATAACTTTTATCACTTCTCTTGATTGGAATATGATAGGCACGGTAGCCTCTGAAAAGATCTTTGTTTGTTTCCCACAGTGGATATCGTTTGCTGTTTGGTGAAAGATGCTGCAGATAGGATAATTGAGATCGATTATATTCATCTTCTTAGCCTTTGTGTAGAATATAGATTGCTGTTTTAAGCCTTTCCTTTGTAGCAGGCGATCTATAGGCTTGCCACTCCCTCCGAAGCCTTCGTTAATATGCGCAGAAGCCCGCCAGTTGTTATCAGGATTACAAGCCGGTATAATAGGGGTGGAGTGATGTGCAGCTAGTAAGATAACAGACACTAGCTCTTCAACTGAGCTGTCAATCTCTTCTTTTTGGTACATGTTTGGGAAGCCATCAATATGGGTACTAACAAACTTTCTGTATTTAAGCCAATCTGTTTTAAGGGAGGTTAGAGCAAGTATGCATTCTGTGGATGGTCGTAGAGATGAAGTAAAATAGGCGAGTGATCCGATGACAGATCTGTTAAGTTTTCCACGTGGACATGCTCTCTAGCCACTCTGCTTGTGACGGAAAATTCGATCAAGTCAGGCTTCTTTATTAGGATTAGGAGACCAAGCTTTTGCGTTTTGCGTTCAAATCACCAGCCGCTAGAAAATTGTCACCTAATAGGTCGAAGAACTGTACAAATTCATGTTCGGAATTGGAAAAGTGTGGTGGGCAGTATATAGCTGAGAGGTTTAAGGTACAGTTTCTGGTATCGATGTGTATTGATGTAGCTTGTATACAGGCTGTAGCAAATGATGGCAACACATAGTGCCTGATGGGTTTCTTGATCAGTATTCCAGTACCGCCATGAGCCTTGCCATCAGGATGGTTTGTTTTATAAAATGTAAATCCATGAAGTTGAAAAAGTTTTGTTTGTTAGGTGTGTTTCTGATATCAGCATGGCGTCAATGTCAAACTGATCTAGGAACTGTGAGAGTTCGTATTTGTGCTGTGAGATGCCATTCGTATTACAGAAACATATTTTTAAGGAAACCATCTAAGCAGAACTTTGTTTGATTAATAGCTCCAAAAGCGTTTGCTGTATTGCTACCATTGTGTTGGTTATAGTTACCAGCATTGCTTCTACGCCGTAAGGCAATTGTGAGTTTGCGGTAATATGTTGGCCAGTAGTTTCTGGACTCTGGTTCAATGTTGGTTGCTACACTGAATCAGCAGTGGTTTGCTGACCTGTCAGCTTAAATGCTGAGGCGTATGTCCCGTTGTTATATCTTAACGCCTCTGCAAAATAAGCTCCCGGCGTCGTGGTCGACGGAACGTGAGGAAAATTGTTCCGGGTTACAGGATTTCGAGATGCAGTTATATGTTTGCCTAGTCGACTTTTCAACTGTTTATAAATAGGACAACCTTTGTAATTTGCAATGTGGTTTCCACCACAATTACTACATTTTTTGGCAGAGTGGTTCTCCTTGTTTATAGCGTAGGCCTTAGTTGAATTTGCGACCCCGTAGGCAACGCAGATTGCGCGTAGTGTGCTGTCAGTTTTTTTTCATGTGGGCGTATTCCTTACAATTCTTGCATTGCACAGGCACATTCCACTTATGACGTTCCTCAACGATGATCCTACGGTACAATAGACATTGAAGCTTATAGATTGGGTGAACTTCATTGTTTTTCAAATCCATACTTTCAGGCTCCAACTCTACCTTGAAGATTGGCTGTGGAACTTTGCTTTTATTTAATATATATTTGACATTAAAACCTTTTTCTTTAAGTCCAGCTATAATCTCGTAGGTAGATCAGTTTGCCTGACTTACAAAAATTGTTGGTTGTGCGTGTGTATGGTTGAGCGGGAACCCCATATGTGAGTGGAAACATGACATGCGCAACCGATGAGGAAGATCCATGCTCGCCCCGTAATAAAATGTGTGTTTTAGTATTGTTCTCTCTATTCCAACACATAGATAAAAAGGATACAAGAGGTTGTGGTTTTGCGTGTACCCATTGTTTCCCAGCGCTAATTAATTTCACTTCTAATAAAAGGTCACTTCTCACGCATGCATCTGATTTGTAAACATCTTGTAAGAGCATGTTACGGCAACCGTTGGGCACGCCCTGAATGCGGTTGAGTTCCGGGGGTAGTATACATCATAATAGATGAGTGTATATGTGTACGTGAGCAAGTGAGTCTATATATGTATTTCCCTCCCTTATCTTTTTTGGCATGGAATGTGAACATAGCACGTCGATCCTACAATTCGAAGGTGTTTGATTCTTGGTTTCTTGCCCAGCCAAAGTTGGTAAGGGCTCAAACCCTTCAATGAAGATTTGCCCGTCCTATTGAGAACGTAGACTGCTGTGCTGACCAACTCGGCCCAAATTGCTTCTGGAAATTTTATTTCTGTATTAGAATACTTGAAAGTTCTTGCATTTCGACTATCGTTCGATTCTCTCTCTCGACACCACCGTTTTGTTCTGGAGTATAGGAAGCGGTGAGTCGAAAAGTTATACCAGCTTCCTGAAGAGTTTCTCTTACTCCTGCACAGTCGAATTCTCCTCCATTGTCGCTCAGGAATTCCCGAATTGTGTGCTTTTGTTGCTCGGCGTGAGAAACCATGTGTCGCAGCACGTCCTTGACCTCTGACTTCTGCTTGACGATGTACCCGTATCGAAACCTGGTGAAATGATCCAAATGGGCCGCAAAAATCGCCTGACATCAGTTCCCCTGGCTTCATCGCTGGTTTCCTCGTTCCAATTGGCAATCGATGTGCCTTTCCAAGGATGCAAGGCTCGCAAAAGCTACTCTTTTGAGCATGTCCTTGATGTGATTCTTGGCCATATGTCCCAACCTCTCGTGGTAGAGTTGGAGAATTGAAGTTCCTGAAGTTGCGACGTTGACATCGACGTTTCGTTCTGGAAGTATGGGCTCGATCGCTGCTCTGTAGAGTGTTCCTCCAACTTCTCTGGCTCCAACGAGGATAATCTTGTCGTTTATTTTGAGGGTGCACTCGGTTGCTGACGACTCAAAACGACTACTTGGATTATTGTCTTGGGCAGCCAAAACTGAAAACAGGTTCTTCATTATATTGGGAACAAACCATACATTTTTCAAAGAAAGAAAAAGAATTTTTCCATTGACAATCGTTTTGGCTTTGATTGTGCCCTGGCCCAAAGCTGACAAGGTTTCATTTCCAGCTGCTCTGATCCAACTTGGATTCTCAAACTTCTCAAAATGCTCGAAATACTTCGCAGTCTTCACAACGTGCTTTGTTGCACCGTTGTCTATCCACCAGTCGACCTCTGAGTTTGCCTCTGCTGCAAACACGCTATTGTGGACTGAGACGAGAGTTAACGTTGGTTCTGCACAATTTCCTTGTTCATTCTGGTAGCTCGGCTTCGGACGTCCATCCTTCTTCCATTTTATGCAGTTCCTGATCCAGTGTCCCTTTTTCTTGCAATAGCGGCAGGTATCTAATCGCCGACTAGATGCTCCTGAATCCTGACGATGCTCCTTTTTTGGTATGGTAGAAAACGCCTCCTGGCTTTCCTTTTCGTCATTTTCTTTTGTTCATTCTGGTAGCTCGGCTTCGGACGTCCATCCTTCTTCCATTTTATGCAGTTCCTGATCCAGTGTCCCTTTTTCAATTTTTAAAATGGAGCCCCATCATAACGCAACGGACATTGTTCAGTGCCAATGTTGTCAGGAATTCTCCGAAACTCATAATGGAATACCAATGGGCTTTTCAACAATGTTAATGAGATATCTTTATTTTTAAAAACAACTCATTAGCATACGAATCGATAATATAAAAACTCTGTCAATTGATAAGCCTACATAATAGAGAAAATCCCAAGACCCCAGCAACTAAATATATAAAAAAAGACTAACAAAAGAAACATAATCATCCGCAATAGCATTTCCACAACACCTGCACTCTGTGTTCCAGTCAAACGATATTAACAATCCTATAACAGAAGCTGAAAACTTTCTTGAGTCACCCTGTCAAATTAGCTTGCTTATTACAAGAATTCACTTTGAAGAAGTCGTGACAGAAGTTATATGGTTAAAACAATACAAAATCACCAGGCCCAGATAAGAAAGATGCCACAACTTTTAAAACTCGACCACTTAAATGCATGCGGTTTCTCACGCTAGTGTTTAACGCAATTCTCAGGCTGAACCACTTCCAGGCGTTCTGGGGGAGTGTATTGGGACCAGTTCTTTACACACTGTACACGGCAGATATGCCGTGGAAATATGCCTGGAAATCTGCTATTCCTCTTATGCAAATATCAGTCATAAAATTGACTTATTGTCACAAAACGGATTCATCCAAAATCAGCTTCCCGGGTTAGGCCAGACTGTGTCTACGCAGTGCAAAAAGCTATAAGAATTATATTCCATTTTCAACCTCACAGTTCAATACGACAGCTTATGTGCTTTCGCAGTTAGCTGTAAATCGTCCCTCTTAACTGATCCCGAAAATTATTAAAAAGGATGTACTTGATTTTTCGTTGGCGGATCCTTAGTATCTTTGATTAGGATCGACATCCTACCACACTTACTCCTGAGTCTAAGGTCTCTTTAGACAAACCTTTAGCAAATATTGAGAAGTGAAGGCGCCAGTCAAGATGACATATAATTGTGATTGCATTTACTAGTTGAATATTGTATCGTTATATGTATAATTCCTCCATCCTCGCAATACCGATTATAAAGGCACAGGGCTGAGAAATACCAGGTCCTAAGCTTTTTCCGAATTTTTTAAGTACGAAAAACATTTGAAATGGCACATTCCGCTGTATTACCACAAAGCCTCATGTATTTAAAGTACTTATCTCTTCAGAAAATAGGTTCAGTTTAGATAATATGCCTTATGCTGACCCAATCCACCGATGAAGTGGCTTTCTTTTCGGTTTACAATGTTTGGCGGGGCATTGAACTTCGACTTGAAGGCAGTGATTATAACCGTTACTCCTAGAGTAAAAGATTATGTAACAGGTAGAAGGATGCGTTTCCGACCCTATAATTTATATAAATTCTTTATCAGGACCAATAGTCCCGAGTCAATTAAGCAAGGTCCGTCTGTCCGTCCATCTGTCCGTCTGTCCGTCCGTATGAACGCTGGAATCTCAGTAACTATAAGAGATACAAAGTTAAGATGAAGCATGAAGATTCGTGAGGTCCATATTTTTGCCAATATCTATTGATTTACCAAAGATTTTCGAAATCCGAACATTATTTCGTTGTTTACTAAGAAATGTAGGTTATAAGGCCGCACATGGGCAATGACGTCACTATCAGTTACTCAACATGCTTTCTCTGACAAAAGGTTGAGCCTTGTGAATTTCCACTAGCAAAATAAATATTTTAAAATTGTGTAAACAGTAACGGGTATCTTATAATCGCGGCACTCGGCTATAGCGTTTCCTTTTGTTTTTCATTTTATTTGTTATTTCTTTCGAATAAAGAATAATTTTTTAACACACTCTTCGATTCTTAAAAAATTTTAATAAACAATAATGCCGAGCAAAGACATCGAAGAGATTAAAAATAAACGAGATGGAATAATGCGGAGTATATCCCGAATACAGCAGTACTTACAAGAGGGTCGACTATCTCTAAATCCAGTCGAATCAGAATGTCGCTTAGAAATTTTGAATTCGCACATCGAAAATGCTTCTTTGATTCAGAATCAAATCGAAGGAAAAGACGCAGAGGATTTGTTCCGCGAGGAACTGTAAGAAACTGCCGTAATGGAGAATTCATTACTGATTTCGCTAATAAGCAAAGGCAGGCTTATGAGCGCCGATGATGCTGCTCCGCCGATGAAGCGCACTTCCCAATGCCATTTGCCGAGCGTTCCTCTTCCTCTGGGGAAAAATGTACCTGTCGTATTATTATTTCCTGTACGACATTTGTTTTTCTCACTTATAAAATAAAACCCGAACGAAACGGATCGTCGCCACGCCAAATCATCACCAGTCTTTCTATTTTCTGCTTTGGAAAATTTGGGGGACCGCACCTGCCAGGCCCCCGACAGATTCATTTTTGGTCCTTCAACCCGGATATTTCAGCGCTTTCGCCAAGATAAGTACGGTGCCGAAATTTCCACCATCCCAGCAAGCAATTGGAAGATCGTTTTTCGATTTATCAGCTTGACGAGTCTTCTTCTGATTCGTTAAGATGATTAAAAAGATTCTTTTTACGTGCGACTAGAAAAAGATTCGAAAATGAGTCGTAAATGTCCTTCAAATACGATATGTAAAATAGCAGAAACAAAAATTGTAAAAGCAATCGAACATTAATCAATTCAGATGATTGAAAGGAGATTATTTTTTGCTTTACATTAACATTCGGTGAGAGAACTTGTAGCTTAACCACGCTCTCTCTTGGTTTTCTGTTCTCTGCTTTTATCTCGTTTATCTTATTCAAAAGGTACTTTTAACAAAATTTGAAGTGGTTTGTGCAATGTTCTGCATTTTTTAACTCCGTTTTAGTAACTTTGTGAGCTCAGTGTATATTATAAATATTAGAAAATTTGGCAAAAAACAAGCCAAGCAATTATTAAGCAAAGAAATTGTGTTGTCTGAATTACGACGTACAGCAGGATAATGAGATATTACAGCAATTTGTATGTATTGTATATATGAATCAATTTTTAATTTCTTAATTTAATTTGATTTAATTTTCAGAAACAATTTATAGGGATAACTGGAAGAGAAGGACCATCTCAATTTATGAGAGCAGCAATTCGAAAAGTATTTTCTGACGAATTGGCTACAAATTATAGTTGTAAAGGCACCAGCACAAAGCCAAGCGCTGAAAAGTGCTTCCTTATAACAATAATAAAAGTAAGAAAATATTTATATTATTGGTGAAAATAAGTTAATATTTTTTCTCCTTCTAGATATTTGCCACATAAAATTCAAATGCACGATAAGCACATGAACATGGTTTTTCAAACATTTTTCGTACATGCCAAAGACCTTGTTAAAAAAAGAAAGCGCGTGAATTAGTTTAGTTGCTTTTATATACATATAAGTTAACACCGGCCAAACGCCCTCCCCTTCCCACTCGACCCGGATACCTGACACCGCGACTTCCCTCATCACCCCACTCAGCCAGCCCGACGACCAGCAGAGACACAGCAGCGGTAGTGCAAACACCAAACGTCAGCGGTGTCAGAGCGACAGCGCAGCGACAGAACGTCAACGACAGAATTGCACCGGCAGAATTGCAACGGCAGTAGCGTGAGAATGGAGGAGCACTGACCGCCCGCTAGCTGCCTCAGCAATACCTGCCGCTACCCCTTCCCATCGCTGCGGCCAACCCAAAATGCAGAGTTAGCACCTGGAGGTTAGCAACTCGTTGGCCCAAATATCCAGAACCGCTGCTATCAGCAGCGCGACAATGGAAGAGCACTGACCGATCGCTAGCTGTCTCAGCCATAGCTTCCCCTACCCCTGCACACGGACGGAAATGCAACACCAGCACCTGGAGCATAGCAACACTTTGGCCCAAAACCCCCAAAACCGCTGCTGTCAGCATCGGACCGCTGCAACCGCTCTGCCAGCGTTATGCAGCCAACAAGCCAGCCAAACTTATGTTTTAGATGCACTTCGATTTGTACCCCCAAAGCCAGCACACCTTTATCAATTGTCAATAAAACCATTGTAACGTGTAAACACGATTTACTGTTTTATTTTAACGTAGCATCGTTGAAATTAATTTGCGAGCTGCGAAGGACGAAGGGACTTGTAACTGGAAACACGAGAATGCAGATATCACTAACTAGGTAATATCCGGGGGAATACTCCCCCTCTGGCCATGTCTGGCCATAACTGGCGCCCGAACAGATTCCACTTTCTTTCGAAAGTGGGACCCAAGGACCCCCCAAAAAAGACGAAAAAGAAAAAAGAAACGAATAAAGTGAAAAATATGTGAATAAATAAAAACTAAAATATCCAAAAAAATATGAAAGCGTTGTGCGTGTTCGTGTAAAAAAATATAATTGGAATTGAATCACATTTACCGCTGCGGTGAGGATGCTGCCGTTTAGAGCAGGCATTCCCCACGGGCGCAAAAAAATTTGTGAATAAACTTAGTACCTGCCGCGGCGATCTGTCCACGTACCCTGTGACGCGGCATATTCGCGGGCACAAAACACTAAGTAATATAAAACAAAAGAAGCGATAATCCACTGCGGCGATAAGTCCACACCATTGGGTAGCTTATTCGCGAGTGTAAAAATTGCAATTTTAATTAAATAAACACAGACAACCGCTGCGGCAATTAATTTGCGAGCGGCAAAAATTATAAACCAATTTTGAAATAAAAAAAAGAAGAAGAAAATTTTTTCCAATTATAAAAAATGTGTCGTGTAAGTGGCAATCTGCTGGAAAGGCTAACGGATGTGGAATGCATTCAGAAAAAGCTGCCCAGTGGATTGTGTGGCAACCGTACCTTAGTAGGCACAATGCCAAAACGGATAAATACGGACCACCGCGCCGATAAACACAATTACACAGAAATACAAAAATAAAGTACAAAAACAAAGAAAAAGAAAAAAAGAGAAGAAAAAAAAATCGCACAACGCTCAAACGAAAATTACAATTTTTTTTCCGAACAAAAAGAAAATCACATACTAATTATAATCTAATTTCAGAATAATAATCCTGTAAGAAGAAAACAGAAGACCTCGAAAAATTTAAACACTGAAAGATTACAACCACACAAACAAGAAAAAGGAGGAAAATACTGATGGTAAGTGAAACGATTCTTTAAACGCACGTCTGTTAATACTAATAAAAAAATACGAATAAAATAGAAATTAATTAACAAAAACGCGGAAAACTGTTGCTAAATTCCCTGCTTCGACCCAAAAATTAAATAAAGAAAAAAACCTGAGAAAAATTTAACTATAAAAATGGAGGAAATGAAAGAAGTTTTAAACCGCCTTGATGCTACCATTTCGGCCTTAACCAGTCAGATGGTGAGCATGAAGGAAGAGGTTAGGAAAATAGGAAATAGGGTGAACGTTTTAGAAACTGACTTCGAGCGACGCAACCCGGTACCAGAGATACCGCTACCATTAATGCGTCCGCGTACGGAGTACGAACTCAAGGAGTCTTCGGCCGTACCGGATTGCGTAAGGGAGCTTGTGACTTTCGAGGGAGAATCCGAGAAATACAACTCTTGGATTAATAGGGCTCAATCCATCATTAACGATTTCGAGGTCGTACGGGAGAAATCCCTATATAGGTCACTCCTTATTCAGATTAGGCAAAAAATTAGGGGCAACGCTGACATGGCACTCAATGCCTATAACGTGTATTGGCATTACACTTTGCCGATAAACGAGACGTTGGTACGCTTGAGTACGAACTAGCTCAAATGACCCAGGGAGGCCAAAAACTGGACGATTTCTACCTAAAAATCAATAATCATGTCTCGCTCATAATGAATAAAATTAAGAGCATGAATTATTCTGCAGAGATAACCGATGCTTTTCTTGCCGGTCAAAGGGGCAAAGCTCTTAATGCTTTTATAAGGGGAGTAAACGGCGACGCTTCTAGGCTACTGATAATCCGTAAGCCTGCGGACGTCCACGAGGCATACTCTATTTGCCTAGAGTTACAAAAAATGGAACCGAGGAAACCTGCACCAAGGGCGCCTTTTTTTAGACAGACCTTTAGCCAAAGTCCCCAGAACTATAGACCTATCACACCAAGGTTCCCCCAGACGAATCAGTTTAACAACAACCATTTAAATTATAGGGTACAGATTAATTCGGGACACAACTTTGCTCCCAGCGGAAGCCCGCAGAGCCTCCCAAGATTCCAGGGAGCTAGAGCAATCAAACATGAGTCAAATCATTCAGGCCAAAGTTACAGATCAAATTTTAACTCGCGTCAAGGAGAGGCCGGTGGCATCAAGCGAAGCCCGAGCACTAATTCCAATTTAAATCCCTTCCGTAAAGCCCAAAGGCTTTTACCATATCCAGTCCACTCCATCATCAGACCCCGTTCCCAACGAGTGTTATCAACAACATTCTGGTAATGAGGGGGGGAGATGGAACACCCATCGCAAGGGGTAGAACATTGCTCTCCCTGGAGGAGATACAGTGTATTGGCGATGGTGAAAAAATTTTATGACCGACGCCTCTCTAGTATACCATACATAGAGTATGGGACCAAAACAGGGGCCAAGCTACAATTTTTAATAGACACCGGCGCTAACAATAATTTTATAAGCCCCAAGAACTCCGCCGGCTCTATAGCACTACCCACACCGTTTGTCGTTCAGTCCGCAGGGGGTAATGTTAAAATAACGCATTGCATCACTGGACAATTTTTTAAGCCGATTGGGAACAATACCGTTCTCACCTTTTTTGTCCTTCCCGGACTAACATCATTTGACGGCATCATAGGAGACGACACCCTAAGAACTTTAAAAGCCCTGATCGACAGGAAAAATGACCTCCTGACAATATCACCCGATATCAAGATTCCCCTTCTTGCTAAAAAAAATCCCTAAATGTACACCTACTGTTAGACAAAAAGCACCCTGAGTCTGCAAAGGAAACTTTAAACGCTCTTATTAGCGAGTATTTCAAAATCTTCGAGCCACTCTCACAAGGAGAGGCCGTAGACACAAGCGTTAGGGCTGAGATTCGCACAAGCACCTCAGACCCTATATACACAAATAGCTATCCCTACCCTACCAACATGAGAGGGGAAGTGGATAGACAGATAGAAGAACTCTTGCGGAATGGGATCATCAAACCATCTAAAAGTCCCTATAACTCCCCGGTCTGGGTAGTACCAAAGAAACCCAAACCGAACGGAGAGAAACAATACCGCATGGTTATCGATTAAAACAAATGAAAAGCAGCGATTCAAAGCGGAGGAGGTTGAAGATGACCGAAAGGTCACTATCAAAACAAGGTCGGGAAAAATCTTTCATAAATCCCATTTAAGAAATTAAATTTTTTTTTGATCAACAATGCAGTTTGTATTTTTCTCGACAGGGAACACTGGCAACAGTGTATCATAATTCCTCAAAACATTGAAATTTATCTATATAAAAGTGCGTACTGAACGTTTCACTGACTCATAACCTCCTTCATACACAAACAAACAAATAAACATTAGTAATAAACAGAAAAACTCAATAATTCAATTCTTAGTTTAAGTTAAGCAAAAACAAAAAACCTCTCATAACAGGGGAACAATTAATTAAAATGACATTGAACCACATCAAATAAAATTTTTTTTTCAGTAATAAGAACACACGAATAATACAACAAAATACCAAGAACACCAACACAAACGTTAGGCTTAAGACAAAGAAACTATTTTATTATAAGAATCTACAATTTCATGTGCACATAATCCCCTGCCGACGTTACAAGTGCGTCCACAATCTACGTGGCGGAATCTCACGCATGGTTGGCGCACCAACACGAAGACAACGCTCAATCGACTGGCTAGGATCAGCCTGGAAGTGGGTCGCGGGATCACCGGACCAATCGGATTGGAATGCCATCTTGAAAGAGGAGGACACCTTGGCGAGAAACAACAATCAGCAGATTCGCATCAATACTAAGTTGTTTGACACAACACACGAGTTGCTCCTGAAGTTGAACGACATTATCGGGAGAGTAAACGCAATAGATGGGGACTTCCACGTGACGACGGCCGTTCTCCATAAAGCAATTATAATAGCGGACCAGGTCAATGAAATACTGAGGGCCTGCCAACTTGGAAAAACTGGAGTGGTCAACACGAATCTCCTGGACCACGACGAGGTCGACACAATACTGGCGGAGGTGGACAGCCTCCCTTATCAAAACGTTGTCAAGGCTGTCGAATTCTCTAAACCAACAATCCTGACAAATGGGACTGCTCTTTTGTACATCTTGGCTGTGCCCAAGGTAGTGTATAGGAGGGACAGATTAATGAGGATCTACCCAACGATATCCGATGGGAAACAAGTTGTTCTGAAATACAACACATTGGCGATGGACCGCCTGGAAACATACGCCCTCCTCGGAAAGTGTATATCCATCGGCAACACAACGGTCTGCCGAGAAAAGGACTTGTTGAAATTGGAGGAGGACGGTTGCATACCCAGACTGTTAAAAGGAGGTCAGGCCGAATGCGACTATCTGATGATCAACCAGGAAAAGGTAGACCTAATCGATGACGGCACACCCTTCCTAACCAACTTCAATGGAACGATATCCACACCAGCCAAGAAGTACAAATTAGAGGGATCGTACGTCATACAGTTTGACAACGAAACAATCTCTATCGGCGACCGGAACTACAGCAGCTACTCTTCAACACACCTTATGGCAATGCCCGCCGTGCTAACCCAGGTAAAAACAACGGGTTACGAGCTCTCGCTGAAATATGCCCACGAATTCAGCATGGAAAACCTAAAGAAGTTAACTATCATGTCAGATGAGATTTGGATATCCTCTTCAGTGGAGATAGTCATAGCCCTCTCCATTATGACAACGGTATTCATCGTTTGGAAGAAGATAACGTCGACCAAAGGAATCCCTAAACTGCGGGACCCGCCTGCAAACCTGGAAGCGCAGGATACTCTGGAACCCGCAACCAAGGCCTAATAATCTGTGGGACACAGATCTTGTGGTGGGGAGGAGTTAACACCGGCCAAGCGCCCCCTTCCCTTCACCGCCTCTCGACCCGGATACCAGACACCACGACTTCCGTCATCACCCCACTCAGCCAACCCGACGACCAGCAGAGACACAGCAGCGGTAGTGCAACCACCAAACGTCAGCGGCGTCAGAGCGACAGCGCAGCGACAGAACGTCAACGGCAGAATTGCACCGGCAGAATTGCAACGGCTGTAGCGTGAGAATGGAAGAGCACTGACCGCCCGCTAGCTGCCTCAGCAATACCTGCCGCTACCCCTTCCCATCGCCGCGGCCAACCCAAAATGCAGAGCTAGCACCTGGAGGTGAGAAACACGTTGGCCCAAATATCCAGAACCGCTGCTATCAGCAGCGCGACAATGGAAGAGCACTGACCGATCGCTAGCTGTCTCAGCCATAGCTTCCCCTACCCCTGCTCACGGACGGAAATGCAACACCAGCACCTGGAGCATAGCAACAC